GAAACTGTTTGTGTGTCTCTGCTGTTTTTCATTTGCTCATGATTAGGAAGATTTAATTATTGTTCTCTACCAATCCAAAAACAGCAACAAATATGTCAATTAAGTTCTTCTTTATTCTTTTTCTGAGATCGCTAGTGGAAAGTATTTTTTTATGACATATCGTTTCCAGAATAAAACTATTTGCGGCTATCCATAGATAGATTTTCTAGATTTTGTGGAGAATTGATGAAACTTCTTAAGCCATATAGTTGATTGGCTTCCAATTTCTGCCACTAGACGGCAAACAGACACGACTAGATAACCGAGCCTGACACCGCTATTTAATCAATTTAATATAGATTAATTTTAAAATAAAGAAAATTAAAATTTATCTCGTTTTATAGGATGAACGGTAGGGTAATGGATAGCGGACAATATCAGTTAAATGAAAATTCTCCTATAGCCCCTAAAGACCATAGTTTGGACTCGATTCTACAGGATAAAAAACAGGAAACATAACATACATAAATAATAATGATATTTTATAGGATGCACGGTGGTGCAATGGATATAGGCGAGTTCGAATTCCAGTCGAATCTATTAGATTCACTTACGTGTTAATACCATAAGGAAAGGTATGACTCGTATTCTTCTCCCCCAAGCTATGGGTAAATAGCAGGAGAGACCGGTTGGATAGCAACTGGTTTACCGGAGAAAGAAATAGCAACGTGAAAAAAAAATCCGTCTCCTGTATTGAAAGATACACGATATTCTAAATGTGTATCAAGCATGGCACATATATGACAGACTCCTTTTGTATATCATAATATGACAGACTGTAGATAAAAGACACAGTAAGAAAATCTACAGGACCTCTTACAAGAGGGAACGAAAGACTATTAATTGTAAGAAGACTCTACGGGTGGTTGTCAGCAAGACAAACAGACAAGAAAGATGCGATCTATGAATTGACGAAGTTAAAATCATGCAAGTATAGAAGTTAAATTAATTTAATTTAAATTAAAGAAATTAATTTAAAGAAGTTAATTCATTTAACAGATAACAGGAGAATAATATAAAAAGTAAAAAGGGAATGTGTTGTCTACAAGATTAACTCAATCAAATACTACTACTACTAATACTACTAATACTAATACTTCTACTAATAATAATGAACAATACACACAGAGAAAACAATCGACGCTAACTGCGCATATATCGTGATCAAAGATCATAAGTACAGGATATGCTTTCTTATTGATATGGCTGTCCCTGTAGATTGTAATTTATCGTTGAAAATCTTCAAATAAATATCAAGATTCTTGAAATGTCTGTGATTTGAGGATTTTTATTTGCAAAAATGATTAGTAGAAAATTTCATCAAGCCATTTCTGATAATAGGCCTTTGGTTGGGGCCCGGAATGAAATACTTATCTGAGAGAAATCTAAGCATATAATAATAATAATAATAATAATAATAATAATAATAATAATAATAATAACAGCAACAACAACAACACAATATCCCTTCTTAATTACATGGCAGCCCCTGCTGTCTCTAATGTATCTTTGAAGATCTTCAAAAAATATCAATGTACAAGGACCTTGAAATCGAAATCTAAAAAATGTGACACCTGAGGACAACAACAATTCCAGTTGTAGTAGGAGCCGTCAGAGTGATGATTGGAAAATTTCCCGAAAGACTCATTGAAAGAATACCTGTTGGCCCAAGGGAAAAAAAAATACTCAAAAGTACAGATCACATACATCATAAAAAGGCATGTACCTATGCAAAATGTGCGATCTTGTTTATTCTTTTTTTTTTTTTTTTAAATAAGCTTAGTTGAATATTTCATAGTGCCATTTCTGAGCTTAGGTCACTGGTTATGACACGGAAAGGAATGGTTATACAACAGAGATTAAAGGAATAATAATAATAGTAATAATAATAATAATAATAATAATAAAAACCTTACAAAGCACACAATAACAATGACCCTCTCCTAAAAATAGTAATACACCAAATCCATTACATCAACGAAGAAGCTGCACTGTTCGAGAAACAACATAACATAAAAAAACGAAGCGCATACAATCTACGCCAAACGAGTAAAACAGAACGCAAAACGATTTTGTCCAAATACAATTACAATAAATCTGGGAGGACAAGGCTTTGCATAGCAAATACATAAAAAGGACGAATGAAACAGATGTGGACCAACTGAAAACACAACAGTGGCTGAAGAGCAGCGGGCTGAAAACTGAGACAAGGCCAATTTATTGCAATAGCAAAGCCTCAAGACCAAATACTCTCAGTGTCACATAATCAAGAATGAACCTAACCTGCAATGCAGGATCCGCGGAAAATATGATGAAACTGTCGATCATATTATTTCCGGATTTCCGGAACCGGCAAAAAATGAATATACCCAGAGACATAACAAGGTAGCGACATATGTGCACTGGAAGATATGAAAGAAGCACAAAATCGAAATCCACTGAGAGATGGTATGAACATCAATCAGATACAGTTACCCAAAATAACGATGTAAGTATCCTCTGGAACATGCCAATTCTAACTGATAGGGAAATAAAAGCTAAAAGAACTGATATTATCGTAAAAAAAACAAGTAATTTTGCAAGTGTATGCTTATTGACATAGCAGTACTATCTGAGAGAAACACCTCCATGAAAATTATGGAGAAATTGTCCAAATACAAGAACTTGGACTTCGAGAATAGCATTGTGTGATGTACGGAGACTGAGACTATACAAATAATAGTCTGATCTTTGGACCTCGTAAGGAAAGCAATGCACAACTTTACTGAGAGTGTCCCAGGTAAAATCAATATTGAAGTTGCCCAGAAGATTGCCTCAATACAAACATCTCATATACTAAGCAGTTAAATGAAAATTCTCTTATAGCCCCTAAAGACCATAGTTTGGACCCGAATCTACAGGATACAAAACAGGAAACGTGACATGAATAAATAATAATAACAGTAATAATAATGTGTTACGAAGAAATATTCAGGTAAGTGGTGATCCCCTAAATATATAAGGGCTTACCAATTTATTATCTACGTATAAACAACACGACACTAACCCAGAATGCCCGATCTCAAAAAACAACTGAAGCCGGTAGCGAATTCGAAAAGAGAACATACTAGCCCAACCTCCTGAAAAACCTACTGTAAATCAGGCACGTCCACGAATCTGAGGCAGACCATCAACCATCGAAACCCACTCACAGCAAAGGAAGCACTCGACAAAAATGAACAAAGCAGGAATATGTAGAATATGTACACATATTGCGCAACATTCCGACCAAATATAGCAACCAATGAAATATAAACTTCCAACAAATGGAGAACAAGAAATCAAGATAATAGGCTCTCTCAGGACCACAATAAACTAGCAGGGATAAGGAAAGGTTCAGTAAAAAGAATTTCTAAAATTAACGTCTCAGTGGAGAAGGAATTCGAAGATAATCAACTAAATGTCTTGACAAATCAATTTACTTCTGCTGCTCATGAAACAACTAATGGACTGACAAACCTGAAATGTATAAGATTCAGGCAGAAACTCACTGAAGGTCATTTAAGAGATCATACTTCTAAGTGACAATGTTGAGTCTTTCTGGAAAGACATTCTGAACATGTGCCTAATCAACACTTGCTAAACATGATATGACACGCCGCTATTTTTGAGTAGAACCTCCGATTATTTATTAAACAGCATATTTATTTTCATCTACCGATCTCAATATTCGAGAAATCTTATTACAGAAAAATATGCTCTCTTCGAAGGATTCGAACCCGCGTCCCCTTAAGGCAGTTGTTCCCAAACGGTGTGGTTAGTCGCATAGATTAGCAGGTGAGGCGGAATGATTGCAAAAATATCAAAGATTTAGAAACTGTTTCCAAAAAAAATTCATATGCCAAAAATAAATTCAAAATTTAAAATATTATGAATTACCTGTAATTGCATGTACGAGTCTCAGTGCAAATAGTTATTGGCCGTAATTATCATTGTGATATTTCTGCATTATATCTAGTATAAGAATATAGTATGTAAGCTCCACAACTTGGAGGAGCGAGTTTTCAGTTTCTGATTTTAAATCTGCGGTTATCTCCCTTCAACCCACTCTGTTTTTTTTTTATTTATTTGAATATACATATATTACATAAATTTTGGCAAGGTGCGGGCAAATAATTCAAAAAATACGGCCCGAGAACAGACAGTTTGGAATCATAGCTTTAGGAAAACCGTCATTAATTCTTATGTGATTTGAACATCTCTGTCACAGACTGCATTACTGTTCAAGCAAAGTTGAATTGATGCGTTTAAACACAGATTTTTTCTTCCTTTTTAAGAACGTAATGGAACTCCTGCATACGAAAAAAAAAATCGAGAATTTAAAACGAAGTCAAAAAATGAGTAAATTTTGCGGGGAGGCCATGTACATGGTCTCCCCGCAAAATTTACTCATTTTTTGACTTCGTTTTAAATTCTCGAATTTTTTTTAACATCACTGAGATGTTTTCGAACTAACCATCTCACCAAAATTAGTATTCTGATATTTTGACATCATATTTCTTTCCAGTGAAGTGGGTCCGGACAATATTTTCAGCACCCACTTGTAAGTATTCTGTCAGAAAGAACGTTGTTATATTTTCCAGTTTGTTTTGTCTAAAGATTTCGCGAGTCAATGATGCAGTGCAGCTATAGGGGAAATAATTTATCGCTTCTGTTGAAGGTAAATACATACATCAGTCACATTTGAAGCGGATTAAATTCAACGAAATGTCCATAATTTGCTTTCATAAAAATAACTATCAAGCGTCTGTAAGAATTCGTTATAACCAGTTTACAGATGAGAAGATAAGAACTGTAACATTATTAACAAAAAGTAAATGATATATGTAGTTATTCATTACTGAAGATACGTATGGTACACTGCTAGTGAAAATAAAAACGCGTGATATTCGGTGATGAAAGAGATTATTTTGCTAAAACTTTCATGGAGCATAAAAATGAAGTTTCAAACAGATAGATAGATAGATAGATAGATAGATAGATAGATAGATAGATAGATAGATAGATAGATAGATTAAGTCGTAGAGATAGATAAATAATGAGAGTAACAGATTGATAACTGCGAGTTCTGATAGATGGAATTCGATGTATATATATATATATATATATATATATATATATATATATAGAGAGAGAGAGAGAGATAGGTAGGTTGGTATATAGATAGAGTTTTGATAGACAGATGGAATCCTATATATAAGAGAATCATATCTATCTATCTATCTATCTATCTATCTATCAATCAATCTATCTATCTATATATATATATATATATATATATATATATGTGTGTGTGTGTTTATGCATGTATAGAGATAGATAGATAGATAGATAGATAGATAGATAGATAGATAGATAGAATTCTGACAGACAGATGGAATGCGATATATAAGAGAATCATATCTATCTATCTTTATATATATATATATATATATATATATATATATATATATATATATATATATATATATATATATATATATATATATATATATATATATATAAATATATATATATATATATTTACAAAAGAGAGGGAAATATCTAGATAAATAGACAATAGGATATTCAGATAGGTAGATTCGTATATAATAATATATTTCGTGTGGTAGAAAGATAATTGTGATGTTAAACAGATAGATAGCAGTTTCAGATATAGAAATATATATATATATATATATATATATATATATATATATATATAAAAGATAGATAGATAGATAGATAGATAGATAGATACTTGCAGCAATATTTACTGTAAAGTTATGTATCCCAAGTGCTAAATACATTGATTTCATAGAGTGAGATTGACTAATCTAAAATAATATCGACAAATATTAAGTTGAAGAATTAAAAGAATTAAAAAAAAAAATTGATAAACAAGGAATCAAAGTATAGAGAATGCCGAAGAAAAATATGAAATGAAAGTGATATAAACAAAAAAAAAATCTGATTCTATCAGGCATGCGCAGAAAGAACAAGGTGTAAACAAGAGCCAAATGAACCAGATGGCAAACGAGAACTGATTACTGATGTCGGCATTGTTTGCTGAAATCAATCCATCAAATCGTCGAATCAAAGAAATCAGAAAAAAAGCGTTAAAAAGGAATGAAAATTATTTGCCGAATGATTACAAAGCGATATTCTTCGGTTTGTGCAATAAATTGAATACAAAGCGACGGACGGTGAGTACCTTTGTAGTAGGTTCATCAGTAAACTCGTTGCCTTTGTTCCATATTGCGAAGGGATGCGTGGGGAAAAGTAGCAAAACAGAGGGACGGACGATAATGGTATTAGTTTGTTTTTTGTTTCTTATCATTGCTAATTGATGGCACCCATTTTCAAAAGGCAATCTGATTAATTCTTCCTTCGTTCCAAAGTTAAATCAATTTCTGCAAGTGAACGACTATCTGCACGCTAGCATTTGTAACGAACCAACAAAAATATATATGAAAAACTTAGATTCGTCCTCAAACAGAAACAGAAAATGTTTTCATAATAAACCAATCCTTCGAATTTTTATACTGCATTTCCAAAGGATCCTCTTGTCATTTCGACGTACAAGAGAAATGGTTTTGCTTGAACATGTGTTACAAACACTGTTGACCAATCTTGTAGTTTTTAATCATTTCACCCCAAGCAGGGCAAGAAAACCACCAAGATACAAGGGTTTATTCAGAGTGGGAGAATATGAGAAAAAAAGAAAACACTATTAAGAAGAGAGAAGAATAGGAGAAAAAATAAAAAAGACTGAAGATAACGATTGGCATTACATCTAATTTTTTGAAGGACAAAGAAAACAAAAAGCCGGAAGAGAGTTTCACAAGCAAGATGTGGTGGGAGAAGATATTGTTAGCATAGAACACACCATTTTATCTTGCTATTTTAACTGCAAGATGATGTGACCTTGGCGCCAATCTAGTAGTAGGCTTACTTTCATAAAACCTTGGTGCTAAAGAGGAAAGTAAGAAGCTGGAACTATTTAGTAACGCGTAGATTTTTCTGGTCAAATGTCGCATAATTTTAGTGCAATTTCAGTACCATTTTATATACTTTGGGAGAGCAACCCAAAGGCCATTATGTTTAGTTTTAGACACTTTCCTGTCGTTTTATATTGCCTTAGATAATAGACAGTCATAATTATTTGAGAATTTTCTCCTTAAAAAATAATGTAATTTTCTCACAACAATCACAGTTAAATAAATGAAAGCAAACCAGTGAAAAGAATACACTTATGTTACTATTTGTCAAAAAGATTCGAGGGTAGTCATATATAAGCGATCTCTTTTTCGTCTATAGCTCTCCTTTTTCTCGGGACCGTAACATTGTCAACAAAATATCTGACATTATAGAAATCTCTCTCTCAAACTCTATTTCTATCTGTCTGTCTGTCTCTATCTATATATCTATCTCTACATTCATCTGCTAATATCTAGCTGCTTGGTGATGTTAATGCTCGTGATACCAAGCAGTCTTATCATTCTAATGTGAATGAGGCTGTTAGTATTTACCCTTTCACTTTGTTCGTTGCTCAGTCTATTATTTAAATCGTAGATTTCTTTAATTGTTTCCCTAATACTTCTGATCTAAATTCTTCTTTACTCGATTGGTTTCTTACTTCTCCTGGTTCTTGTCGAGCAACACAACTCTGTTCGGACCACGCTGTAGTATCTGTTGACATTTCTTTTGATTAATTTATTAGACATGAACCTCCATTTTTTTTCTGTTGCTAACCTGCCGATAGCGATTCATTTCTTGATTTTCCTCCCGACGCCACTTCTTGAAAATTCAGTCACTGAGTTTACATATTGGGTAAAGAGCGGCATCGATGCTTTTGAGCCATCTCAGAAATTTAAGGTGAAACCACAATCTTCTGCCTCTTTGGTCAGTATTGTCCATAGTCATCTTGCATTCTATACAAATTTAGTCGTTAAATATTTAAAATTCAAAATCAATCACCTTCAGTCTTTTAATTATTTTCTTTTCGTATCTTTTCAATTTGAATTTTCTTTTCTTGGACTTTTTCTCTAGTTCTAGTGGCTATACGATTCTGCTTGGGGTCAAATGATTAAAAAATACAAAAGTTGTCCTATTGGCGGAGTAAAAATACGCAGACTATATCCCCTACAGAAGGGCAAGACCATACAAAATGTATTAACTATCCGCTCAGATGTTTTCAAACGCAGATATGTAAGCTCACCTTTCATCTATAGACAATAAAAAACGTTAGTACTATTTAGAAGATATAAAATAGTAAACGCAAAGGATAATTTATAGTCTCAAATATACAAACAACCAATATTTACTTATAGGCTGACTTTAAACATGACCTATATTTAATTACTGACTAATCTAAAAAAAACAAAAACAAGAAATATTCATTAATAGATTTAAATATAATCACAACCAACCTTTAGCCTCAATTATCAAATAGATAAGTATTTATACATTGATTCATTATACATTTATATGTCTATATTGAATAACTTAACACAGGCTGAGTTAAAATACACCATTCATCCCCCGAAGCAGTATAAAGTCATCAGCTCGTTACCAAAAATTGATCACCGACTCCTGACATTTTATTTAAAGCAAGAGACGTAATCCTCTACTTCTCAAGAAATTATGTAAATTAATAAAAAGAAAAATGAAAGATATCCAATTATTATCCCAATTACAAGCGTTGATATTTAAGTTAAATAACCTCAGACATGAATTAAAGCGATGTAAACACGTCATATTTCTAGAGACATTAACTGAATTAAAGAGAAGAGGAAAAGTCGTATTATCAGTGCCGGTTATAAAGCGGAAATCACGGTGAGGAAATCGAATAAACATTTGAAGATAATGGAATTTCTTGAAATATTTGTTTCCAAGAAATCACATGAAATACATTATAACAGGCAATCCAATTTAACATTGTATTTTAGAAACCGTTTAAAATTATATTTCCGTTCAAAACTATTAGATTTTAGAAGCATGAATAGTACTTTTGCCTGCAGGTGAATTTCATTGGCGATTTTTTGAAGATAAATACAAGATACAATTGATATATATATATATATATATATATATATATATATATATATATATATATATATATATTTATATATCGTTTTAACCGGCTTCTAATGCTCCAGTTGGTAGCGGCTTGGTGAGAGTAGTCGTGGCTCCTGGGGCACAGTCCTATGGTTACAGAGAACTCAGTTGAGTTCCGCCACGGATTATGTGAGCGAGCGGCGCTAAGTTGAGTCTGATTTGGAATCTCTTCGTCACCGAGGCCCATTTGGAACAGTTGGTATGATGTTCGCTTGAAAACCTGTCAGGGTTTCATTCTCGGTAGTGCATGCGCACTGATGATGAGTCCCAAATATAGGACGAAACGGCCGTCTAGTGCTTTCTGCATTCTGTTGAGATGTCTATCAGACTCGATGAATTAATTAAATATATATATATATATATATATATATATATATATATATATATATATATATATATATATATATATATATATATATGGAATATTATATAATTCATTCGTGTTCAACGCGAGTGATTTTCGGGGAATGTTTGTGTTTACTTAACTAACGAATGAGTACGGTGAAATGTTAAATAGGGGCTCGGATTGAGGAAAGGAGAGCCGGGTTCGAATTCCAGTGAGATTACATTGCATTCACTTACTTGCTAATACCATTGGAAAAGGTATGAATCCTCTTCTTCTACCCCCTAGCAGGACAGTTCGGATTCTATTACCTTGATTTGCAACTGGTCTACCACAGAGAAAAGTGGCTACCTACTGCGAGAAAAAATTCTGCCTGGTTGATCAGGTATCGAAAGATACATGATCACCTAAGCGTGTATCACCCATGCCACATAACTGACTGTAATAGATGAAGGCACGGAATAATAGATCTGAAGACTGGCGTTCCAATCTCAGTCATTCACTAAATTCACTTTCACGCAAATACCCTTGGGACAGGTCGGAATACATCTGTTTACCCCCAAGTTATGCGCTGAATAGCAGGACAGACTGGGACCTGAGAGCCTTGCTTGGTAGCCTGTCTACCACTGAAAGAAAAAGCAACCCACTATGTGAAAATTTTCTGCTTAGATAGTCATGTATCAAAAGATATATGATCGCGCCAGCGTATATCACGTGTGGCATTTACCTGATGGACTGAATATTGTGTAATTCTCTTGGGGTCGAATCGAAATTTAACGAGTATAGTCTCACATTTTGTAGCCATTATTCTATCTTTATATAGGATCTTCCTCAAAAGATCATATCTAACCGAACAAAAGAAGACACAGGGTACGTATAAATGGAGACTATGAATCCGTAATTGAAGAGACACTGGATCCATATGAAAGGTGATTCTGGATGCGTTTGAAAAGAGATTATGGATCGGTACGTGCAAAAAAACACTCTGGTTCCTTATGAAAGGAAACTCTAGTACCGAACGCAAGGAGATTCTGGATCTGTGTGCAACGAGACATTGGGTCCAAAGGAACGGAGAGACTCGTTCCGAACAAAACGAACTTTGGATCCGTACGAAAGAAGGCACTTTTTTTTCCGTACGAAAAGAGGCACTGGTTCCAAACGAAAGGAAACTATGCGTCTGTATGAATGGAGATTGAAGGTTCGTATTAAAGGAGGCTATGCATCCGAATGAAAGAAGTGTCTGGAATAGATCAAACGGAGACAATGGTTCCGAACGAAAACATTGGGTCTGTACGAAATGTGACTGGTTTCGAATGAAAGAAACCTCGAATGAAAGAAGGCTCTGGGTTCCTACGAAAGGAGAGTGATTCCGCACGTAAAATGTAACTAATGTTGTTTGTAATATTTTCTTTATTTTTCTATATTCCGAACATTTTTTTTCTTATTTCTTGTGAAGAATTTTTCAGTATCTCAGCATTTTCTTCATTCATAAAACATTGTCAAAGAGTTTTGGTTTTCTACTGAGCGAAGAGGAAGCGACATTTGATATAAAGATATGTACATAGCATATATGATTTGCTTATGGCTTATTGGATAATTGATTAGTTTTCTACGGCTTATCAACAATTTGAAGCTTATTTAAAGCCAGAAAATAATTTTAAATATTAAGAATTGTTCATGGATAACAAATATTTATATATATATATATATAAATCTTACTAATTAACACATAGCTGGGATAGAAAAACTAGATTCAAACTTTCCTTACGTGTATGCGCGCATAAATAAAATCCAAGTCAAATTAGAACTCGGCTCTTCGATTGACAAATCCAAGCTCGTATGCATTATGCCACCCGCATAACCAAGTTTACAGTAACAAGTATTATCAATCTAAGTATTGATCAGAATCGGCTGTGCTTAACTTCGGTGATTGCACGGAAAGAGGTGTTTCATCACGACGTGGTCCTAAGCATTTCATGAGCTATGTAACCCGGAAATACTTTGACATTGAATAACTTATATTTAAATCTTTTACCGGAAACCATGGAACTGATTAGAAATACAAATTATAAAATGAAAATAAAATTTAACAATCCAACTTGATTGGTCCTTGACCTAAAATAAATACTCAAATTCTCCGAATTCATTTGCGTGTGTGTGTATTTACACTGAAGTTTACCTTTTACAAGGCAAGTCTGCCATTCGAGGTAGATTGTTACATAAAGAGGAAACCTGTCGTGATGCGAGGGAAGATAACCCTTACCCATAGATATGAACAGGTTAAGATTGTAGTAATCGGGGAAATATCCTCTTGGTTGTCGTTTTTACAGTAAAGTTCAGCCTGTACCACGCTCGGAAGCCTACTTCAGGTAGAGGGTTACGTTAAAAGTCAATTTGTGCCAATAGGAGAAGATAACGCTTAAACCTAGAATTGAACAAATTAGGATTGTAGTGATCGTGGAAACATCTTCTTGTGAGTTGGTTACATAGAACAGTAATTCGAGCGAAGAAGCTAGCCAAGTGGAACTTACTTCTCACCGATGGAATGCAGAGGGAATATGGATGATTTGCTACTATGTAAGTGGAATGGTGTATCCTTGCCTGCAGGTTTGAACACGCGGAACAAGCGAATTTAGTTCGTCCGAGCACTTTTCGTGGAAGTAGAGATAATGCAGCGACAGCCTTGATTGCTTGAGAGAGGTTGGAGAGTGGAGAATGATTCGTCACCCTGAAGGAATCGTAGACGCTTTTGGACTCTTTGGGGCTGGGAAGTGAGGTCTGGGCAGCTCTCTCCCCAAAATGACAAAGGTATTCAATTTTTTTTATATATATATATATATATATATATATATATATATGTGTGTGTGTGTGTGTGTGTGTGTGTGTGTGCGTGTGTATGTATGTACGGAACCAAGCGACTATGTTACCCTAATGACCATATATGTATCAGCCTGAACATTTATTAGTTTATATTCGATATGAAGTAACCCGCACCGGAAAACACCTACATATATAAACTCTCGCAAAAAAAAAAGCAAAAGACAAACAAAAAAAAATGAGAGACGAGCGATCACATGTTCGTACAGGTACACAACCTTTTTATGTTTAATTTATCGAGCATTGAATCGCTTTTGTAAGAATTTCCATCAACTCATTTTACAGCTACTGGCATTATTCATTCGGATTGACTTTTAAGAAAATCGTGTGCCTTGCTGCATCCGCTTTGCCCATATGGAGCCTTTTAACTGAGAGATCCTCTCTTCCATACAATTTGAAAGGAGAAATACCAGAGCATATTTTTACAACCCTTCAATGTGTCATAATTCTAAGAATTATGTAAAGCAGTATTAAAAAGTAGGTTTCGCTTGGTAGACTTTTATAATCTTGGCTCGTACACAAAGCTATTCTGTGGGCACTGGCAGAGAGGAAGAATCATCTCTTCGAATCTGAGTTATTTCCGCTAGAGGGCGTATTATTTTCTAGATACGGTCGATAAATTTAAGATGGAGATCTAGATCAACTCCAAGCCCTAAGGCTAGTCACATGTAAGATTTGAAAGTGTGAAACATAGATATATACAACATATCTGATATAGATTTCTTGTGCAGCCAGAAAATGCTATTTTGTGGTTTGAAACAAATGTTCAGTTTCAAATCTAGGCAAGAAAAATAACGTTCTATCTTTTTGTCCTGTACTACAAGAAATATCAGATCCAAACGCACCTACTGATTGCACCCTCTACTGGCATAGAAAATCTACCAATTGAAAAATTGTAAGAATCCGATCATAAATCTGCTTTCGATACATCAATACATTCATCGATTGCTTTTCAATTAACGTAGCATTTATTTAAATGAAAAATCATGGCCAGTTGGTTGGTTGGTTGATTTTATTTAGCGGTATATCAATCTGCATGGAAATCTAAATATTTATCAGGTCATGTTATGCTTTCAACTACAGATATTTTATACATATTTCATATTTTCAGGGTAATAGTATGCCTTTTTAGATATGAAGTTTGCAGATCAAAAAATGTGTCTGTCTATATCTCTGAGATAAGTTATTATGTAGCCTATTTACATTATCCGGCCTATTGTCCTCATCTTTGATGCCATAGTTGTCACAACGTTTCGACCGTTGTACGCTCCGCCCTTCTTCAGGTGTTTGGAATGTCGAACTGAACGCTTTATTTCGCTCGCAGTGGTGGAACCGTTCTAGTTCCACGTGCCATGTCTAATGGATGTCAGTTATCAGTTATCTCCTGTTAATTCCCCTCTCCATGTTCTCCACTGCCTTAACCACTACATGGGCTCTTTCACCGGGTATAACCAACGCCTTTATCCACTGTGCCATGTGTCCTGAAGGACATCTGTATATGAATTTCTGGGACTTATAAACTTAATGTCTCAGCAACCATTTTTACCAGTGCTCATATTGCAATTTTTGCTGTTATCATTGCATTTTTTTTCTTTTTTGATAACTGACATCCATTAGATATGGCACGTGGGACTAAAACAATCTACCCCAGCGAGCGGGATAAAGTATTCAGTTCGACTTTCCAACCACCTGAAGAAGGCCGGAGCTTACACCGGCCGAAACTTTGTGATAAATATGGCAACAATTGTCTGAATAATGTAAATTGTGTATAGAATGTGTTGCTCATGATTTTACTATAAAAATATATTGTTATATGATTTGTGTGATGAAATGATTTCTTTCGGCTATACAATTTTACTGTTGAAAATTTTATTATAAACATGTACTGTTCCTTTTTATTTCGGAGTTCAATATTTGCCAATAGTTGGGACCCTAACCTGTGCTACTACGCTTGGTACTCGTGAACCTGGGAACAACATCATTTAAGATGTGATTCCAGGCTCCTCAAAACCTCTAATCTTCCGATCAGGGGCCTTGCAGCAGGATGTAGTTTATCGTCATACGCATGAAGAAAAAGCATGGTCAGTTTCTTAAGATTAGCAAATAATGCATTACCTGCATTGTTTTGCTAAAGATTCATTTTGTGTTCATATCATATTGTATTTAAATAACTTGAGGTTTCTCCTATGTATTCTGTGTGCCAATTAAGACAGGTGATAGATTATATTCCTCCTTCAGATTTTAACATTAGTATTGGGCTTTGCATTAAATAGATGTCTTCGTTAACATGAATTAATTTATTTTTGAATGTAGTTCTGATAGTGGTTGTAGGTCGGATAATTGAATTTGGTTCACTGACTAGGATGAAATCCTAAATGATGGAAAGCCACCCACGAAAAAAAACAATTCCTTTTTATTATTGTTTTTTTTTCCGAAATATTTTCAGACTTAGAATGAGTATATATCGTCCCCACTCCTATTAAACACTCACACACCGACAACCCTAATATATATATATATATATATATATATATATATATATATATATATATGGGGATTGTGGTTGTCTGCGTATTTTAAAGTAATTAATGGCTTTTAATTCGAAGTAATTTATATTAGGATAAATACTATTCCATTGAATACACATATTTGAATGGAAATCCCTGCTTTTTTTTTTGCATTTTTTATACAAAAAGCAGATTTGATAACCGACAGGCTTATTGAAATGTCTTATCAAAATTAATTATTAAAATTTTATTAATTACCAGTTGTTTAGAATTAATATGGATTTCTGCATGTCATCCGTTTATCGCGAGGGATAAAGGTAGCGCCATGTCTAGTCAAAATTAAGTCGTTTGCCTGTGAAACGTAAGACTTCTCCTGTGCGCAGACCTTGTAGTATATGGATATCTTGAGCTACACAGACGACATGCCCCAAGATTGAAAGAAATAAAGGTTATTACATTTAGGGACGTGTCGGCTGCAGGAGTTGTCAGAATATCGTCAGTGTTGATAGACAACCGGCTTCGTGGCTCCACTTACTTTGGAAATTCTGTCTAGATTTATTTTCATAACCATTCGCAAAGCAGCGGAACTTTGATATCAGAGTTTTTCTTACTCCCGATGGACTGCTTTCCTTGTTGTCGAGCTTCATCTACCGAAACAGCTGGTTATGTGGCGCCAAATTTCTGCCTTTGACACATTCACCAGCTTGGGGTTGGAAATAGTTGCCAGAGATTATTTGAGATGCATCAAACTGAAGCGTTTTATAGAAAGGAGGAGCTTGTTCCCAAGATCACCCCTCTGTCAGTGGTTGTCTTAGACGGGTCTCTATGGCTACCTGATGGACATTTCTATGTGATCTCCATTCATACATTTGTGTCTACTGATATATATATATATATATATATATATATATATATATATATATATATATATATATATTGAGAGAGAGAATTAATGTGGAGTTAATGTTAATGTTAAAGTTTTTTTTTTACAAATGGAGTGATGAACGTTACGTCAGTGCATGACCGCTAAAACCATTCTGTCACAGCGTTTTTCACGCCATTTGTAAGACATTTAATTTTCAGAATGGTTTTAGCGGTCATGCACTGACGTAATGTTCATCACTCTATTTGTAAAAAAAAAATAACTTTCAATATAACAAAACAATTTCTCTCTGACAATAATGGATACTATAATATTCATGTTATTATAAACAATACCCTTATGATGACATGATGTGTCGAAATTACTTGGAAATAAATCAAATATGTATGAACACGGCGATTTATTTTCGTCTTTCAGTAATGACATCAAAAAACTTATGCGAGAGTATAAAGTATCTTAATGAGTAGACAGAATATGTCTAAACTGTAAAACGAAACATATATATATATATATATATATATATATATATATATATATATATATATATATATTTAGGCAGCAAGCCCTCATTTATACATGTTTTATTAAGGTCGATAGACACGGTACTGCGATTAACATTTTAGTTAATTTTTCATGTGTTCGATCAAGTGTTTTCATTTCTAACTCGTAATTCCTATCTCTTTCGTTGATATTTTTATCCATTATAAAGGGTTATTTTATTTTTACTTATTAACTGGTTCTTTGAGTTGTGTGTATGTATCTAAAGTTTCCGTCAGCCGTGTTCGTAGTTACTATTATTGTATTTTGACTTTTTCTTTTTTATTATTAGGGCTTCCAGTGTTTTTAATCATTTTTTTACATGTGGATGAGGTTATTATGCTTGTATTTTCTACTAGTATGTTTTGGATGGAGTATGGTAAGTTTGTGTCTGTGCTTAAATGGGTTCTGATAGAGCTGTGGTCGGAAATGTGTAACGTAAGTCGCCTGGATAGGCATTTAGTCGTGTGACTGATGTAATTATTTATGATTTCGCTTGAATCAGGAACACAATCCTGTCTGTGTGTTCATTATTGTTATTATTTATTTTGGAAAGAAATATAAAAATAATTTAGATTTAAAGGCCTAATAAGTATCATGTTTTCTACTAATTGGAGAAGCACGGGACGAATGGATTTCCATACTAGCGCTATTAGTTTGTAGATGTTGTCATTATGGTCGTGGAAGGGGACTTTGGTTGTACAATGCATGTAATAATTTTTTGCTGGTTCTTTTTCCGTAGTTTACTGGTGGGAAAGTGTTATTGGGTCCACCCCTTTTTCATACAAGTGGACTCGACCAGTGTGTACTTGGACTGCTGCCGTTAAATACCAAGAGTCAGTCAGTCATATGTGTGTGTGTGTGTGTGTGTGTGTGTGTGTGTGTGTGTGTTTGTGTGTGTGTGTGTGTGTGTGTGTGTGTGTGTGTGTGTGTGTGTGTGTGTGTGTGTGTGTGTGTGTGTGTGATAACAAAAACATAGAGACTTTAAATATCCATTTCGTTTATAATTTTTATTTCGTAAACACCGAGATGTTCATCTCATAAAGAACGAAAACCTGCTCCGCGAATGGAGAAATTACACAGGTCGGACACTTTAGATTGGTAGTGCTGAGAAAGAAACGGGTTGGGTAAAGATAGGACTGAGAGATTAATTAGTAGTAATCGGTTTCTTCAACCAAGGAATTACTCTACACTTTTTAGATTTTAATATTGGTTTGTATGTTACTTTGGCCAATACCGCGTCTTGTCCTCGGCAGGATAAATCAAGTCGATTATAAGAATCTAATTCAATGTATCTTAATCTAAATAAAATTCGGCGTTAAAATTGTAAAACGTAAGAAAAACGCAAGCTTAGGTTAATGTATTATAATGCTCTGTAGTCTACATTGAGCTCTCCCTGGATTTATATCCTCCTCGGAATTAAAACTTGTAAAACGTGATATATATATATATATATACATACATACATACATATATATATATATATATATATATATATATATATATATATATATATATATATATATATATATATATATATATATATATATAACTGTGTGTCTGAGAATAAAGTTAAAAATAAACTTATCTTAGCCGACGCGTTTTTATCCTCTGACGGTCTTATCAAGGCAAATTAGAAGATTTTATCTTGGAGCAATTATTTGTAAACGAAAGTAAAAATGTTGTTATATTTTTATTTTCATTTAAGAGACGCTCATGAATATTCATCAACTTAATTGAAATGTGTAAGTAAATTACGGAGGAAATTATGTGACTTTATTCAATAAATGAAATTTGAGTAAATGAAATTGAGTAAATGACGTTACTGATTAGGCAATTAATATTTAAGTTATAGAATTCTGAAAAAAATGAATTTTTTTTAATTTTGTTTCTAAATACTTCTTGCAAAATAAAATCCTCACATTTGCCTTGATAAAGTACGTT